TGTACCAAGACATGTAAGGTAAATGAGAAAAAAATATTTTTAAATAGAAATAAGAGGAGTTGGATGGAGTGGAGTTATGATCAAAGAGAGATGTTTGCATTTTTCAGTGTCAGAGGTGGGGCAGTTCTGCAGGTGTCCAGGGTAGTTTGAGGACTGGAGTACAGTGGAAGTAACAGTCCTTAGAGATGAGGTAGTTAAGGAACTAAGAGGGGAAGGTGGTGACAAGTCATCATATAATTTATTGTCCACTTTTGAAAGTGAAAGGAAGCATTATTAATTTGTCATTCATCCCAGAATAACAGGCATGAGTCTGGACTGTACTGAGCAAACCAAGACATATGGTAATCCTAATGCTTAGCCATTCGGGCTGATTGCAAGCCTCAAGGTGGAGAAAATGACAGTGCCCTCATGCAAAACTATAAGCGACTGACGGGGCTTACAGACAGTTGAGCGCAGAGTATGGGAAGTGGCGTGGCCAATGGCAAGAGGTTGGCCAAGCAGGCGTTCTACAAGAGGGTGGAGGAGCTTAGGTGGGAAGCTTTGCTGGGGCGGGTGGAGGACATAGGTCCCATCTCCACGTCTCTTGGGGGCTGTTAATCTGTAGAATGAGAATTGCTCAACCTCATGCATGTATCACATGTTTTCCTACTTTCCCAAGCACTTTTTTTTCCCAGCCTCCTGACTTTCTTGAGCGTTACCTACTGTGCTTCCCATTTTCAGAAACTGAAACCAAGGTGGAGGATGGTTTAGGTGATGACCCAAGGCAAACTGAGGAAACTCCAGAAGTAGGGCTGCCAGACAAAATACAGGACACTCAGTTAAAATGTAATTTCAGATAAACAACAAATAACATTTTTTGTATAAGAATCTCCCAAATATTGCATGGGACACACTTCTACCAAAAAAAGTTATCCATTGTTTATCTGAAACTCAAATTTAGCTTGGCATACTTGTTTTTTGCTTTTTGATTTGTTGTTGTCGTTTTGCTAAATCTGGCAATCCAAAAAGAAAGGGGGCAGGCCAGAGTGGCTGAATAAATCAGAGAGCCTTCTTAGTAGCCTCGGAGGCTGGGAGGGCAGGGCCAGGCTCAGGCGCTCTCAGCTATGTTCAGGCGTAGCTGAAAGAAGACTTGAATGGCTTTATTTTATTATTTTTTTATGTTTTATTTTTATGAGTTCATAGTTGGAGTTTATATTTGTCGGGTACATGAGATATTTTGATACAGGCATACAATGCATAATTATCACATCAGGGTAAAAAGGGTATCTATCCCCTCAAGCATTTATCATTTCCTCATGTTACAAACCTTCCAATTATGCTCTTTTAGTTATTTTTAAATGTACAATAAATGATTGTTGACTGTCGTCACTCTGTTGTTCTTTCAAATACCAGATTTTATTCATTCTAACTATATTTTTGTACCAATTAACCCTCTCCATTCCTCCTAGAATGGCTTTCTGCTCATGGCCATGTCACTTGCAAGTGAGCAGAGAGAGCCTCAGAGCCAACAACGAAAGTCCACATCCCCTATTTTAATTAGATCCTCATCTAGCCCTGGGAAGTAGGCACAGCATAGACCCCTTTACTCAAAGGTTCCAGGAGAGATTTGCTGAGCTTCTAGAGTCAGAGCCCACCAAGGAAGGGGCCTTAGGGAAGGACACATGTTCATGCATGATGGGTGAAGGTGCAAACCCTGGAGCCCACCCAGCAGGCCCCATGGAGCATGGTGCCAAGACTGCACCCTGGCACGGGATCAGCAAGATTGGCCTTCTCCCTAATAAAGCGGTAGGCAGGGTGCAAGGAGAGGGGAGTCATCACTGTGGAAGGTGGGAGAGGCAAGGAGAAGAGAAATGACCAAAGCTTAGGTCAGCTAGTAAATCATTAGCCTTCACCAGAACACAGAAGCTTGGTAGATCATTGTTATAGGATAATTAAATGAAATAAAAAACAGCAAAAATAGGCCGGGCGTGTGATCACACCTGTAATCCCAGCATTTTGGGAGGCCGAGGCGGGCAGATCACTTGAGGTCAGGGGTTCAAGAGCAGCCTGACCAACATGGTAAAATCCCATCTCTACTAAAAATACAGAAATTAGCCGGGCATGGTGGCAGGCACCTGTAATCCCAGCTACTCAGGAGGCTGAGGAAGGAGAATCGCTTGAACCCGGGAGGTAGAGGTTGCAGTGAGCCGAGATCACACCACTGCACTACAGCCTGGGTGACAGAGCGAGACTCCATCTAGGAAAAAATTAAAATTAAAATTTAAAAAAAAACCAGCAAAAATAAAATACAACGAAGTAAAATAAAACAACAAAACAAAAGCAGTCCCCAACCTTTTTGGCACCAAGGACCGATTTCATGGAAGACAGTTTTTCCAGGGACAGCACGGGTGATGGGGATGGTTTTGGGATAATTCAAGCACATTATTACACTTATTGTGTACTTTATTTCTATTACTATTACATTATAACATATAGTGAAATAATTATACAACTCACCATAATGTAGAATCGGCAGGAGCTCTGAGCTTTTTTTTTTTTTTTTTTTTCTTATAAACAGTCCCATCTGGGTGTGGAATATGATGAGGTTTTTCTTCAAATAATCTGATCAATCTTTTATTTTTTAATTCATATATTCCTAACATGGGGGTAATAGGAGACAGTGACAGATCATCAAGCATTAGATTCTCATAAGAAGCCTGCAACCTACATCCCTCGCATGCGCAGTTCACAAGAGAGTTTGTCCTGCTGTAAGAATCTAATGCTGCCACTGGTCTGACAGGAGGCAGAGCTCAGCAGTAATGAGAGCAATGGGGAGCTGCTATAAATACAGATGAAGTTTTGCTTCTTTCCTGCCACTCACCTCTTGCTGTGCGGCCGTGTTCCTAACAGGCCACGGATTGGTACTGGTCTGTAGTCTGTGGGCTGGGGCCTCTGGCTTAAGAAATATATCGTATATCATGATCAGGCATATTAAATATGTATACAAATGAATGTCTTTTTTAAAATGACACAAAAGTATCACAAAACAATACTTTGTACCATGTATTCTGATAGATTCAATTCTTCCATTTCATTCAAATAAAAATCTGATCATGACCCATTAAATTGATTTCACAACCCATTAGTCGGTCATAACCTATAGATTGCACTGCTTTACAGATACTATTCTCACTGTTGGGTATAAAATACATTGTGGGGGTCGTGGGGGCAGGCAAGAGAAGAGGCAGGAAGCTCAATGAGGAGGATATTGCACAAACTCAGGCACAAGCAGATAGCGGATTGGAGCAGGATGTTGGTGTCGGGGGCAGAGGCCGGTGGGCACTCTGTATTTTAGAAGCAGAATGTACAGGACTTATTAATGAATTAGATGAGCAAGAAGGAGGAATTAGTGATGACTTCATTTTTGGTTTAGGTCGCTGGGGGAACAGCAGTGTTGATTACTGACATGGATTAGGCTGGGGAAAGGAGCAGATTTGCAGGTAATTGAGAGTTCTGTTTGGGCTGTGTCCATTTCAATGCAATCTCACCCATTTTCATTGTTCCTGCTCTAGTCTTAGAGTCAGCTGGAGAGAAGTACATAGGAGGTAGAGAAAGACCCCACAGTGAAAATGTTAAGGAAAACAGAAAACTTAGTTAACATCTACTCAGGGCTTACTCTGTACCAGGCAGTGTTAAAAGCACTACACATGTACATTTAATTCTCAGGATAATGCTATGAAATAGGTGCTATCGTTGTCTATGTTTTACAGAAGAAGCACAGAAAGGTTACTTTCCTTGTCTTCAGTCGCACAGCAACTATATGAGCTGAGATGTGAACCAAGTCTGCCTGATGACAAAATGACATTGCCCTATCAGAGAAAGAGGTACTCAATCTCTTGGAGTAGGATGAATCTTTTTTTTTTTTTAATGAATTTTGACTTGGAAAGATGTTCACATTATATTGCAGAGTTGAAACACAAAAGCAGGATTCAAATCAGAAACAGCAGCGTCTGATCTGTTTTTACAGTAGAAGTTAAAAACATGTCTATGCATTGATAAAAGACAAGAATTATGTATATTACAAAATTAACACAGGTTCTCACTGATGGGATACAGGTGGTTTAAATGTTTGTCAGTGATCGTATACAGTCATTGTTAAATAATATATTTTAAAATAGAGAAAGAAATGGAAACAGTGTTTGGCATATCCAGCCTGTCTGTAACACAGATTCATGGCAGCAAAGTGCCTCAAAGGACAAGTGTGCATTGTGGTGGAGGCCTCTGAAGATGTGGGCTGTCATCCTGGTACTCCCTATCTGCAAATCTCTGTGTGGCCTTGGGACCACAGGGTCCTCAGAGGGGGATCTCAAGGAAAGTACCTGCAGCAGTAGTGCCTTGGTAAATCTGTAACCACCAGCTCTCTAAAAAATAAAACACCCTTGATTTGCAGTGTTCACTGATTTCTGTGGCATAAAAACTACCAGTTTCAAATGCAAATTGAGAAAAGATGAACAATAGTACACAAGTATATGGTATTTCCACCATGTAAATACAATATGTAAATTACCTCCAGAAGATAGTTAACAGTAAAATGCAATAAAGTAAATAGGGCATGATGAGTTACAAGTGTTTATTACTTTTTAAAAAATGTAAATTGTTTATTTGCAATCTCATATCATCTAATTTTTTTTTTCTTTCTTTTTTTTTGAGATGAAGTCTTGGTCTGTCGCCCAGGCTGGAGTGCAGTGGCCAGATCTCGGCTCACTGCAAGCTCCGCCTGCCAGGTTCATGCCATTCTCCTGCCTCAGCCTCCCGAGTAGCTGGGACTACAGGCACCCGCCACCTCGCCAGGCTAGTTTTTTGTATTTTTTAGTAGAGACGGGGTTTCACCGTGTTAGCCGGGATGGTCTTGATCTCCTGACCTCATGATCCACCCGTCTCGGCCTCCCAAAGTTCTGGGATTACAGGCTTGAGCCACCGCGCCCGGTCATCATCTAATTTTTAATAATGACTGTGTTTAACAATTGGTTTACAAGATTCCCCGAAATTTAGCAATTGGCTCTAGTGAGCCAGTATGAGCCTGCCCCAGCACACCACTGCCTCAGAGCCTTTTGGGCTTTGTCCAAGATCAGAAAGAGCTATGTGCCTGCTGAAGCAACTGAAGGAGGGAACCTCACCGCTGGCTCCTTGGCCCCACAAGGCATCTCGGCTTGAATCTCAGTCCGGAAGGAGAGACAGGAAGAAGCATAGGAGAGGACTCCAACCAGGAAAGCCAGTGGCAGGAAGGGCTGGCAGCATCAATGTTATCGTGGGAGCTGTTTTTCTCTGTCTTATCAATGGCAGAGACCAGGGAAAACAATGCCCCTGCCTTGATATCACTTTGTAAGCCAACAGGAAAACCCCAGAACCATGGGTTTGCAATGGCTTTGCCAATCTGGGTGGGCCAGGATTCCTTTCCCACCTCTGAACTCTTGCCTTCTGCCTGTCTCTGCTTTCTGTGCTCCAGCATGCTGATTACATAGCTCTGAGTCTCAGTTTCTCCTCTCTGAAATGGCCCAACTTGGCAGGTCCTGGAGAATTCAGGGGCGTAGCTGCCTGTCTCTCACTATGAAGACCATGGCAGAAGCAGGGCAAGCATTCCTCCTTCTTGGCTCTGTGTGACCGGCCTGGACACCACCCAGTTTCCATATCATCTTCACTTTGGGAGCTATGTAGGCACTGAAAACATCATCCTCCATCAGCAGATTTGGAAACTGAAGTCCAGGGAGGTCATGGAGCCTGTTAAAATGGCAAAAGAACCAACTGCACACACATTTCATAAATTAAAAAAGTGGGAGATCAAGTGTTGCAGAGGGTGTGAACCTATAGGATTTCTTATGCATTACTAGAGAACACTAGTAGTATCTTGGAAAGGTGAATATGCATATATTCTACAATGTGGCACATACACTGAACAGATACTGTTGCAAATGTAGGTCAGGAAGAGTCAGAGCAGCAGTGTTCACAGTTGCAAGAACCATCAACAGGAGAATAGTTGAATAAACTGCCGCTGAGTCACACAATGGATGAAATATAGGATAAATGAACGAATGAATGAATTATAGTGGCATACCTCAATATGACTAAAATGTAATAGTATGGCCAGGCATGGGAGTACATACCTATAGTCCCAGCTACTTAGGAAACAGGTAGGATTGCTTGAGGCCAGGAGTCCAAGACTATAGTGCACTATTATTGCACTTGTGAATAGCCACTGCACTCCAGCCTGGGCAAGATGCTGTCTCTACTTAAAAAAAAAAAAGGCCAGGCGCAGTGGCTCAAGCCTGTAATTCCAGCACTTTGGGAGGCCGAGACGGGCGGATCATGAAGTCAGGAGATTGAGACCATCCTGGCTAACACAGTGAAACCCCGTCTCTACTAAAAAATACAAAAAAACTAGCCGGGCAAGGTGGTAGGCGCCTGTAGTCCCAGCTACTCAGGAGGCTGAGGCAGGAGAATGGCGTAAACCTGGGAGGCCGAGCTTGCAGTGAGCCGAGATCTGGCCACTGCACTCCAGCCTGGGCGACAGAGCATACAGATTAGATACAATTAAATAAATGTGAAAGCAAGGGAGTGATTCCAGATGGTGATTATGTCAGTTGGGGGGAACCTAGGAGATGAGCTAGGGATAGATCTCATATGTAGACATGAGTTATTGTCAGGGTTCTCATTTTTATGGTGGCTGGTTTGTACAGGGACTATAAGCAAACAATTAAATAAAACATAATATTATGAAGCAAGGATTATGGTTAACTCCCTTCTGTGCCCCTGGGCTGGGGGGAGGAAGAAGGCTAGCATTGAGAATCAGACTTGGCTGGTGCCACTATCCGGTTTTCAGGGGGACAACTGAAAATCACAGAACCAGAAGTCATGTGCTTTCCCCTTCCAGGCCTCAGTTTTCACATCAGTAAAATTAGGTTTGGGGATCAGGTCATCTTTGAGTTCCTCTATTAGCTGAGCTAGAGTAGGCCCTGCTGCAGTAACGGACAAGCCTCTCCATCTCAGGGGCTGTACACATCGCAGTCTGGGAGGCCACCCTGGTCAGCTCACCTACAACACTGATTTAGAGATCTGGCCTCTTCTGTCTTAGAGTCTTTCATCCCATGGAGGGGAGAGAGAAAGTGTGGAGAACCCACACCTACTCTTGTTGACTCCCAAGAGACACACAGTTCCTACTCACCTTCCTGCTGAGAATGCACAACCCCCACCCCACTGCAAGGGATGCTGAGTGAGAAGGGAGGAGGACGTGCCTGCTCAGGGAACACTGACCCTCCCTGTCTGAGCTCCCTGCATGTCTGTAATCCTCAGAGTCTCCGGGATGTTCCAGCCCAGATTCGACAATCTCCTGTTTCTGAGTCTACAAACCACAAAGGCTTTCTGAGTTTATTCATTCATTCCTTAAGTAAACAGAGGGCCTGCTCTGATCCAGCGCTGGGTTAGGCCAAGGAGCTTATCACTCCTTAAAAAGCTCATAGTTCGGGGGTGAGTCCTGGTGGGAATGGAGGGTAAGAGAGGACTGACCGTTTTTCAAATGTCATCATGTTGTGTGAACGCCCCATAGTCAAAGATAAAAGAGAGAATATCTAATGGGTGTGTGTGATAGGGGAGGAGGTTGTGATCACAAAAGTCTTCTTTCAGAAAGTCAGTTTTTCAGCTGGGTCTCTAAATGTGAGAGGAGACTGCTAGGAAGACTAAAAGAGGGGGCTCTTCCCAGTAGGGGAACAGTATGTGCAAAGGCATGAAGGCAAGGAAGGCCTTGCATGCATGAGAAAGGCCAGTTATTTCATTTTGCCAAAGGTGGGGTACACGTGGTATAAGGGTTATGGGGGTAGATCGTACCTGCTATTAGGATAGAAGGGTGATCAGGAGTTAGATGCTGAAAGGCCATGAATGTTGTGCCCAGTAGGCGTTTGGATTTTATCCAGTGGGCCACCATGGAAAGGTTCCAAATAGGCAAGGAAGGCCAAGGGGTGACTGGAGTGGCAGTTTCAGCCTTCCCAAAGTCTCCATTAGCCAACTTTCCTTCTATTCTTTGATGTAAACAAAGTTTTTCTCAGAATAAGGTAAAGAACTCTGCACATTCAACTTTACCGCAAGTGCCTTATTCCCCATCTCCCAAACAGATGTCCCACTAACTAAATACATAGAAATTCCAGAGCCATTCTCCTTGTCGCCCACAAGAGGACAAGCTCACATTTTGATCACTGACTGCGACCCACTAGGCATTATGTGGAGTGACCAGTCCGCCCTAGAAGCCTGTGTTCTCTCCGCAGGTTGAGCATTGCTAAGAGGCCACCGATAAAATGTACAGTAGTTCCCCCTTATCTGTAGTTTTGCTTTCCATGGTTTCAGTTCCCTGCAGTCAACTACGGTCCAAAAATGTTAAATGGAAAATTCCAGAAATATACAATTCAAGAGTTTGAAACTACACGCCATTCTGAGTATGTGATACAATTTTGTACTGTTCCACCCTGGACATGAATCATCCCTTTGTCCAGTGATCCACGCTGTGGACGCTGCCTGCTTATAGATATCGTCTGCTCCTGACATCCAGCCATTGACCTCGACAGGGCTTGATGGTCCAAGATCACCAGAAGCAGATGAGCCTCATTCTGACATGTAATCAGAAGGTCAAGAGCGGCCTAATGCAACGTCATAATGACCATGTCACTCACCTCACTTCACCTCATCAAGCAGGCACTTTAACATCTCACATCATCATAAGAAGAAGGGTGATACAGTACAATAAAACCTTTAGAGAAAGACAGAACACATTCACATAACTTTTATTACAGTATATTATTATAATTGTTCAGTTTATTATTGTTAATCTCTGCCCTGACTTTTTTTTTTAGATGGAGTCTCATTCTGCCACCCAGGCCAGAGCACAGTGGGGCAATCTCAACTCGCCGCAACCTCCTCCTCCCAGGCTCAAGAGATCCTCCCACCTCAGCCTTCCGAGTAGCTGGGACTATAGGTGCACAACATAATGCCTGGCTACTTTTTTGTATTTTTTGTAGAGACGGTGGTTTCACCATGTTACCAGGCTGGTGTTGAACTGCAGGCCTCAAGTGATCTTCCTGGCCTTCCAAAGTGCTGGGATTACAGGCATGAGCCACCACACCCGACCTGTTAATTTCTTAATGTACCTAATTTATAATTTCAATTTTATCGTGGGTATGTATATATGTACATATAGGACAAAACATTGTGTGCATGCATGCGCATGCACGTGTGTGTGTGTTTCAGAACTACCTGCGATTTCAGGCATCCACTGGGAGTCTTGGAATGTATTCTCCATGAATAATAGGTGACTACTGTGTGATTGCTGCCCACAGCTCCTATGTGACACTAGACACCACTTTTCAGAGGATGGTTCCTTAGGGAGCAGGAAGCCCACTAGGCCTGCTCCGAACTTCTAGGAACCAGAGGTCCGGGATGTTCTGCCAGTTCTCCCAGACCACACACAAACCCTAGGCCCCTGACACCCAGGCTGGGATCCCTCAGGCCCATGTCATACTGTCCGCCATGAAACCAAGCAAGCACTCTCTCAGGGCTTCCAGAGGCCAGGGCCCTCAAAGTGTCTCCTGCCTCCCCGTGTCATCTGGGATTCCAGTAGCAGTGGGAAGATTTTATACACAAGGAAATGGTCCGGGGGAGGAGACTCAACTTGTCAGTGTCACATAGCCCAGGAAGTGACAGTCTCCAAAGCTCCAGGCACTTTCCACAACTCGGAACCTGCAAGGAGTGGTAGGCTGAGTTTAAGGTTCAAGGACCTACCCACCCTTTTCTGCTCAATATAATCTTAAAGGCTACTAAAGAGCCTGTGGGTGGGGCCTGGAGTGGTCAAGTTGCCCTTATGGTTTTGTCATCTGTGCACTGCACAAAGAGGTCGGGGGCTAGTGGGGGCTGAAATCTGGTTAGTGCAAACAGCAGGGCTGCATCCATGGAAGGAGGAGGTACTCTGTGTGTGTGTGTGTGTATGTGTGTGTGTGTATGTAAAGGTGCCTTGAGAGAGAGAGAGAGAGAGAGAGTGTGTGTGTGTGTGTGTGTGTGTGTGTAAAGGTGCCTTGAAACCTGGATTTCAGCCCACTGGGTTGGTTCTATGGTAAAAAGAGCAATTACTTTTGCACCAGCCTAGTAATTCTGCACAGTCACCATAGGGGTTAGACACTGGCCTGGGAGAGTGGATATAAAGTCAACATGGCAAATAATTTGCGTCTTCAGGGCCAATTCCAGTGTCTCATTAGAGGCGACTTGGGGTGCTGTATTGAGTAGGAACCTGAAGTCTTGCCTGGGAAGGGGATCTGCACTCAGTGAGGTCTGTCCTGGGTGGGGGATGGGGCAGTGGTGCCTGTAAGGACAGTATTTGCCATTTTGCCATCTCTGCTGTAAACTGACACCTTCTGTGTCAACACACAGTCCAAAGGAACCCAATGCTCAGCCCTGGCCTAGAGGAGAAGCAAATCTTAGCTTTGTCAGTCTGTGCTTTGCTATTTATTCCTGGCACATGGAGTGTGGGTGGGTTGAAGAGGGTTAGGGGTTCGTTTGCATGATAAATCATTATGGGGTATTTTTTATAGAAATAAGAAGCATCAATTTGCACAGGATTGTGAAGCCCCATCTTCTTCCCCTGCCCATCTCTGCTTGCCTCCTGGGCCCAGTTTGAAGGCTGACTCCTTCATAAAGGCCAACTGCTTCCTCTTCTTGCCCAGGTTTCTCCTGCTTCTCTGAGCTCAAAGGTCTTGGTTTGACACTCCACCAAACACTTATCAGACCTGTTACCTGGGCAACTTTAGGAGCATACTTTTTCCTACTTGTCCCCTCCTGCCCGCATTTCTCCAGATAAAATGAATATTACTGTTATTGAAAGTATCAATGTCACCCTCCCCTCACGCATGACTGCCTACTCACTCAGGGAACAGCAAAGCTCCTTCCTGTTTGTATCCTCCTTGGATCCCGTCAGTCACTGTAGAAGTTGGTAAGGATGGGATCAACATTCCCATTTGATACCTGGAAAAACTGAAGTTAACAGAGAGGGCGGGCCTACCCAAGGTCACTGGGCCAGGTTTCTTTCCTCCAAATCCTGTGTTCATTCCACTGACCCATTCTGGAGACTGTGGGATGGCTGGAGCCTCTGGACAGGGAAGGGGACAGGGATGCGAGCCTTACCTGGGTGCTCCCTCCTGCCTTCCAGTCTGAGGACAGTATATGGGGCCAGAGCTGTCACATCTGAATGCTGCCACACTGGGATCAACGAAGAGAGAGCTGGGAGGTAGTAGTGGGTTAGGAGCAGGTAGTTTAGTTATCAGGTTTACTGAGTGACCCTGGGATGGTTCTTTTCCTTCTCTGGGCCATGGTACCTCCTCCTCTGTAAAGTGAGGGCTTGGAACCTCTGACATTTTAAACACAGAGTTCCTTAGTGTGCACATGATAGGGCAAGAAGGTGCGGAGTTTGGGCATAGCCCGGTCTTCTGGCCTGGTACCTAGTCCTCTGATACCCATCTGGTCACTCTCACCTATTACCCTCTCCCACAGTACACGTTGTCACAGGGGATCCTGGAGCATGCATTCCCAGCAGCTGGCTGAGGGCTGACCTTAGGTCAATCAGTTGCCATCCAGGCAAGCTGCCTATAGGATGCTCATATTTATTAATCACCTACTGGGTACAGAGCCCACATGTTGAGCAGATGTCCTGTGGTCAAGGAGAGGGAGAAAAGGACAAAACCAAAGAAGCCACTCAGGCTTCAAAGAGGAGCAAAATCTGGACATCCGTCCATCCATCCATCCATCCATCCATCCATCCATCCATCCATCCATCCATCGTCCATCCATCCATCCATCCATCCATCCATCCATCCATCCATCCATCCATCTCTCCACCTATTCATCCAATCATCAACCCAGCAACTATTTCCTGATTATTTACTATCTATGCTCCAGGCTCTGGGTAGAAACTATGTTGGGGAGAAAGAGGCAGAGGCCATCAGTGTGGTCACCAGGTATGATAAACACCTTCTTGGCATCAAATCACTCTGAAGGACACAGGGAAGGACCAGAGGTTTCTCTAAGCAGGTGTCAGATTCCTAGTTATATCCCCTACCTGAACAGCAGTTTTCTCTATAAAATCTAGGGAAGGTCTTCATCAGTGGTTTGAAATCCTGCCTCCACCCTTGGAATCTCAAAGACAGCAGCAGAGTTCCAGAGATAATCCCAACTATTTCTTTTGGTGTGGTGGCAGGGACAAAGTTTCACTCTCTTGCCCAGGCTGGAGTGCAGTGGCATGGTCTCGACTCACTGCAGCTTCGACCTCCTGGGCTCAAGTGATCCTCCCACCTCAGCCTCCTGAATAACTGGAACCACAGGCATGCACCACCACGCTCAGTTAATTTTTGCATTTTTTTGTAGAGATGAGGTTTTGCCATGTTGCCAGGGCTGGTCTGGAACTCCTGGGTTCAAGCAGTCTGTCTGCTTTGGCCTCCCAAAGTGCTGGGATTACAGGTGAGCCACCATGCCCAGCCCCAAATAGTTCTAAGAATAAGTGGTTATCACATGTATTTGCAACAACCGTGTACCTACTCTTTAAACAAATAGGTTTAATACTGCTTAAAAATATAAAGGGTACTGTATAGATGTGTTCTTGATGAATGAAAATATTAAGATATAATTGATATATGTGCTGTTGTTTGTATTAATAACTGCAAACTGGTAGACAAGATGGAGATCTGAGATCCAAGGGCCTCTTGGTTGGTGAAAACGGGCGGCATTTGGTCATCCCTGAAGGCCTTTCTGGTGCAAGCGTCCATAGATGTGGTTAGGTACACCTGCAGGTGATGGGAGTAACTCGTGGAGTGGGTGGCAGGGAAGAGCTGCCCTTTACGAAATATCTTCCGCTTACCAAGCCCAAGCTGGGAAGCACACAAACGTCCCCGGCGGCGGGAGGATGACTGCTCCCATTTTACAGAGGAGAAAACAGGCTTGCTCGCAGAGGTTAGGCGTCACGCAGAGGTCATTCCGCTGGGCGGTGGCCGAGCTGGCACTCCAACGCTGGGCGGAATGGCTCCAGAGCCAGACTGAAGGTGGGAGAGATGACTCGGTCCCAGCCAGGCGGTGAGTTCCTCTGGGCTAGGTCCCAGGTGCTGGCGCAGCAAAGACCACCCGGAGAAAGAGACGGTGAAGGTCCTGGGACTTCTTGGGGCGTCCGGCGGAGGCGGGGACAGGGCTCCCTTCAGGCAGTCTTGGACTAGCTGAGTTGTCCCAGGAAGATGGGTGACAGCCGCTTTCCCGAGCTCCCCCGGCCCAGACTGGGGTCCTGGCGACTCGCCAAGGCACCGGGGCGGGCTAGGGCTGGGGCTGGAGCCGGGGCGGAGGAGAGGGGCGAGAAGCGAGGCGGGCCCAGAGCAGAAATAGGAGAAGGGAGAGGGGGAGGGGGCGGGGAGTCTTTCCTGGGGCAGGAACCCTGGCCCCCCTTGGCGCAGCCGGCCCGCAAAGTGATTCTGCAGATGGAAGGAATTAAGTCGGAGGGGGAGGGTCCGATGGTGATAGCGAGAGGAGGGAGTTAGAAGTGTGTGTATCTGTGTACGCGCGTCTGAGAGAGGAGCGGGAGAGACAGGGAGAAACATCAGACCAGACGGAAATAGAAGAGAGGAGACAAGAAAGAGTGAAAGAGAAGAACATACACAACACACACACACACACACACACACACACACACACACACACACACACATACACGGAGCGCGCCACATAGAAAGACGACGGACACGGGAGACACTAATCGTAGAGAGAAAGAGGGAGTATAAGAAAGGAGGGAAAATAGGAAAGGAAAAGTGAGTGAAAATTAAATAATTGCAGAGGATTTGGAAAGAACGAAACAAGAGAGCTGACGACAGAATGAGACGAGATTGATTAGGCCAGGGCTGCACCGAGCTCCCGGCAGCTCTGGGAGCTGGGTTGGCCGGGCTGGGACGAGGTGGGGCTTGGGCGGGGCCTCGCATGGGCGGGCTCGGTCGGTGCTGCATATGCAGATGAGCCTCATTCCCCTCTCCCCCTGCCCCTGACGGTTCATATTCAACGAGACAGCCAATGCAAGGAGAGGACGGTGCCAGGCGGGGCAGGGAGTGGGCGGGGCATCGTGGACCCCACCCCTGGAGCCGCAGCTGGAGGGGTTAGCAGCGAGGCAGATAGCGGATCGCCGGGCCGGGCGGGACGCAGTGGGCGGGGCGGAGGGGGCGGGGCCAAAAGTTTCCTGCCCAACTTTCGCAGCCTCCTTCCACCGCCCGCGCGCGCCGGGGCTGCAGTCGGGGGGAGGTGGCGGTGGCTGCAGCGGCTGCGGGCAGCGCGCGGGGCGCAGGGCGCGGGGCGATCGCCGTCGGGGTTCGGGAGGCGGGCAGTGGGCGCAGGCTCCCCGGTGCCCGCCCCTCCGCTGCGGAGGGGGGCCGCGAGCGGGCGGCCGGGGAGGGGCCGGCACCGCCGCCGCAAAATGAGCCTGCTGTCGGCCATCGACACGAGCGCCGCCTCGGTGTACCAGCCTGCCCAGCTGCTCAACTGGGTCTACCTGTCGCTGCAGGACACGCACCAGGCTAGCGCCTTCGATGCCTTCCGGCCCGAACCGACCGCCGGCGCCGCGCCCCCGGAGCTGGCCTTCGGCAAGGGCCGCCCGGAGCAGCTGGGCTCGCCCCTGCACTCCAGCTATCTCAACAGCTTCTTCCAGCTGCAGCGCGGAGAGGTGGGTGCCCCTGCGCGCCCCCGCCCACCGCCCCACCGCCCCACCGCCCCACTGTGGCGGGCCGTTCCTTGTCTGATCCGCTCTTCCTGGCCTGGCGCGGCCTGGCTCCGCATTGCCCGGCCCGGCTTGGTTTGGCTTCGTTCAACTCTGCCAAACTCTCTGCCCGAAGTCCCCGGGGTGCCGGGAGCGCGTCACCTCCCGGCTGAGCCTGGGCTGGAGCAACGCAGCCCGGGGCGGGGCTCTCCCGCCCCCTCTCCCTGCCAGGGCAGCCCTACTCCAAAGGGGTTGGGGGAGGGAGTTGAGGAGGGGTTGTCTCCGGATTTTCTCCAGACAGCTGGGGTGCGGCCTGGGCGGGGAGCCCCTTCCAAGTGTCCTTCTCACGCCCAACCCTATCCTTGTCCTGGCCACCGCGGGCTGGGACCGAGAGTGCAGATTCTGCTCAGGGCTCCTCTGGAAGGGCCTAAAATCTTTGCTCCGACCTCTGCTGTTCCCGACCCGAAAGGCACCCTGGAGAGCAGTGACTGCCCAGAGGGCTTCTCCTGTTGTTCTCACTCGGGGACCCCAGATAAGTCCTCCAGCTGCTCGCCCTCCCCCAGCCACATAGGAAGTGGTTTCTGAGGGCTTGACCCCACAGACTGCGCTGTCCCTAGCCCTCCCAGCCTGGAAGGAAATGAAAGGGAAATCCTCTTGAGCTCTTGGGAGCGGGGCTAGAAAGGGAGAGAGGTTCCAGCTGCCCAGCGCCTTATGCAGAAACCTGGGCCGGCTGTGTTGCAAAGTCTGCCTGTTTGGTAGATTCAGTTACAAAGTTGACTGGGCAGCGCCTCTTTGCCAGCAAGATAAATACACAGATCGCCACCACCTCCCAGCCCTTTTTGAAGAGTCTCCAGGGCCTGCCCAGATACCACTCCTTTCCCTGGGCTGGACGCCTCCTCTCCCTCCATTTACTTCTGCCTCATTTGGGAATTTCAGACACCCATCTGTGGCCTTCACTTCCTCCCCTTGTGGGGGCTTTCTCTGCAAAGATGCAAGAGGTGTGTTGGGGGGGGAGGACACACATGGGGGTCACTTTCCTTCCAGACCTGGGCACATCGGTGAATGTTAGGAGACTCAGAGTCCTGAATGGGTTGGGAGGAAAGCCTATGTATGCAAGGGTGTGCTGGGGATAAGAGAGGGATGCAGAGGGTCGCCCTTGAGTTCGACTCTGCCATTATTTACTAGGGGAGACATGAACATATAAAATGCTGGCCTAAGGCCAATACTACCCAGGCTGACATGTTGACCTGTGTGGGTAGAACAGGTGTGGGAGGGGGCTGGGTGCAGAGGAGGAAGATGAGTCTGGAAGTGCACCCTTTGGTGCCAGG